CACGACGCTTATAAATTATACGAACATAATCTTGGAAATGGACCGTGGAACTTTTGAGAAGAGCGATGAGGCCGATCAAGCCGGCGCCGCATCCTAAATCCATAACGAGTTTATCTTTCAGTTCGATTTGCTCTTCCAATATGTACTGGCCCAAATCGAATGTGCATTCCCAGATTTTTAATCCGCCTTAATATTGCGTGATTAATTTTTAATGTAAACTGTGTAAAGTTTTACACAGGAAAATTTAATTCTGCGGTCAGTTTTAAGGACATTATATTTTAAATAACTTTTAATTTATAAAAATTACCTTCGTACTTTGCTGGAATAAGATCGGAATGTTGTGTCTCGGCTTCAATAATATTCTGACAGTTATACTTTGTCAAATCCTTTACTACTTTATCGCAGCGAATTAATTTTAGATTATAATCAGGAAACATTTTTGTCTCTGTATAATAATCTGTCTCATATTTCGCTCCGATTTGTTCGGATGTTATTTCGAGTTTGGAGGCAGGAATCCATTCTAATTCATCCTTCTTATCATTATCCTCTAAAATCATTCAAAATGAATTTTTTTATAAACGAATGCTTCGTGCAAATTGGCATCAGGCGAAATTTTGCGAGCAACAATAACAGTCTAACCTCAAATTATGAATAGACACGTGTGTCTTTTGAGTTATTACAAAATTATAATTGATTATACCTTCATTAGCGTCAGTTGCAGATTTTGCAAATCCAAATTTAAACATTTTTCACAAAATTTCAGATGTGAAATCAAAAAGATTTGGGATAGAATATTACCCAACAACGTTTCAATAAAATATATTTACGAGAGACATCGATATTTAAGATATCTGATTTACATCTGATGATAAGTTAGTATTCTGCTAAATTTTTATCGAACTTGAACTTGCTTGAAAATCCTGACACCTAGTAGACAGTTGTACAATTTCTGATATTTTCACAATTATAAAAGAGTATTATTATGTAATTTAGACATTACGATAGAGTAAGATTCTCTCTCCTTTTCTCTTTCTGTCTCTCTTTCTCTTCATACAAAATATAAGATATATATTTTGTTGAGAACATTTCGCTATCGTTCTATTGCAATACAAAAAGGTGAGCATTTCAATTATATATAATATGAAATATTAAATTAGTTATTATTGTATAATTAAATAATAATGTGTGATATATTTTTAAGATAATTAAAAAAACTAGATCCTAAATAAATTTATTGGGAAAATTTTTCAAATTATCAATTATTGATTGTTTACACAATATTTATTTATTTTTTATTGATCAGCAGAAATTTATTTTGTTCCGATGATACATTTGCACGACAATGCATTCATCAAGGCCGATTTATTGTGTCATTACAAAACGAGTAACGTGTGTGTGTGTGTATTCTATTCATTGAATTCTATACATATATTAGAAAGCGACGTGCTACTCAAGATGCCGGATAACAAAGAGAGCAATATGTGACCATTTGTCTCTTTCTGTTATAGACTTTCTTTTTTAGTGGTAGAATCAGCGCCAAAAGTCTATGATGGTAGTGGTGCCGACTATATACACCAGTGCAAGAGTCTAAGAAGAAAAGAGACAAAAGTCACACAATGCCCTCTTTGTCATCTCGCACGTTTACGCCAGGCTTATATGGGAAGGCGCGTTCAAGTATGTATAGAGCTCACAATCAGTGGTTTCATTACTTTTCTATAAAACATGGTGGATTATTAGTCATAGTTTTCTAATAGCTTATCATTACCTGATATATATAAATCTGATAACTTTCCAAATAAACTATTATTAACCGCAGAATTTTTTTGCTGATCTAACCGCGATTTTTTTTTTCTTGATCTAATCATTCCTGATAATATTGATTTCTACACTAATTTTGTAGTGTTTATAATTTATTCTTACAAAAAGAAACAATAAATTTTTTAATTTTGTTTCATTTTGCGTTAAATTATAATAGCATTTGATTTTATCCTATTCAAACTATATAGATTTTATTCATTTTTGTATAAGAATAAAAATTATAATTATAGCCACAGCTTAAACTATTTAATATTGCGACTTGCATAATGTTTAGATCATCTTACATTATAATCGATATTATACCTTATCATTTGAGTAATTATACTACAATTGATAGCAATGTTTTTTCATATCTGATTTCGCGTAATCAGCTATAGTGCTGGCAATTGTACATTTCGCAGTTCTTTAAATTTAAATCGTCCGTTACTTCTTATTGATAGCATCACCACTATTCGCACCTACGTCAATGATTGGCGATATTATCACAATTATTTAAGATAAGGATTTCTATTCCGTTTTTTTCTTCCCTTTTTTTTCTTCGATAATTATCGTATTTTGCGCAATCACCTCGTGCTTATTTCCGGGATAATTATCACCAAAACCATACGCATATTTTATGCGTTTGTATAAATTCTATAATGCGGGTTCTGTAGTAAACAATATTAAATTTTTAACAGATTTACATGTGATGTGATTTATTATTATATTTAGTTATTGATACAGGAAGCAGAATCGCTCTTTTGGCCGCAGCAGTCCACCGTGATATAAGAGATACGTCAATGATTACAGGAAACAATTAGTCGACAGTTATGACAGCGTACTATGATGAGCAAATAAACGTGTTTGTTGCTACTCGGCGACTTTGAATGAGCCCTTATCTCGGAATCGTTTGCAAACGCGAGTAATGATTTATCCATCCTCGGTATTTATTAACTCTTATTATTCCAAACAGAGAAAAAAAAACAAAGAATTTTGTACACCGATCAGCATGGTACATATTTTACTTTGCCATATAGATCAATGGAATAGCTATCATGCTGAGTGGAGAAATGCGATATATTTATATATTTTTTCTATTCTTTATTACGGCAATTACGGCTTTTATTTAATCAATATTATTGACATAACATTTATTTAAGAATAATATGTAATTATCTTAATCTTGCTCTGACAGAAGTTCTTTCTCATCAAAAATCTTCAATCACTGATTGAAGCGAGAAAGAAATTAATAAAAAATCAATTCATTGAAAGTATAATTTTATGTGTAATTATCGTCATTATTGATTCATCTATGTAATTCCTAGATACCATTACTTATCAGGAATTCATGATCTAACTTGATAATGCTGTGCGAATCAAGTGTGTCATAATGTAAACATTAATTCACATAGAAAAACGACGTAACAAATATCATTAAAAAAAAAACGTAATTAATAAGATCGATCGCATTGAATCAAGGTTTTCTCATAATCTTCTTTTTCCTTGTTATGATATGCAAATAATTAACATGAAATTAATGCATTAAATACGCAAATAGTTATATTATAAGCATATAAAATAAGTAAAATATTATCTTTTTGTTTTTAGATAACAAATTATTTATTTTAATTTTATACACACATATACCTTTATTATTTTATTTTCTATTTATTTTCCTTTATTTTCTATTTATTTTAAGATACAAAACACATAAAAAATATATTAATCGTGTATTTATTTTTTAATATATAAATTTGTTATATACATATACATGCTTATAGTCTCTTTTTTTTACATAATTATTTTCAGGGTCAATGTAATTTATTATCATGTCATGTTATTCATTTCGCCGATCTTATCAATCTCGCTGCACCTTATCACACGTTTGATTTTTTTATCGCGCGGACAGTGATTCCGCATCCTTCCGCATTTCGATTGTAATCGGACAAAAATTTTCATCTCTTTGTCATAGTCATCGTCGCTGTTGTTGCGACAAACAAAGAGGGGACAGGGTTAAGGGACTATAAAACGGGTTGATTCGACGTGCGACTTCACCGAGGGACTCCCCGGCTGCCGTTCGATTTTTCGTTTAAAAGCGGACGCGGTTACACGATGCCTGTCCAGTTTCACTTTTAACGCGCTGTAACGTTTTGGCGCTGTAACGGTGTCAATCATGAGGTCATCTTCTTATCATATCGGATTACTCGCGCTGTGTATCTTGGCACTCGTGCATACAGTACTCGCCATTCCCATTGACAGCATGAATTTCATCAATGCAACCGGTAAGCTATTCGAAAAATCAAACACTTTACGTAAAAAGATATGACATATTTTCCAAGCTGATTTTTCGTTGAGCAAAATTACGCGACCACTAAGATAGTGACTGCCTGTGAAAGACCGTGGTTGACATTTATGAGAAATGATATGATATATACATGACGAATTTAAAGAGTTACTTTATTTTCTGCAAATTTATATTTTCTGTAAATTTATATTTTTTATATTATTTTCAGTAAATAAATATTATCTTAATTATAGCTTTTTCTAATATTGTGATTTTTGATATTCTCGATCTTTTTACGTGTTTAATCCTTTTAATGATATCAATGGTTCTAATTGTTTTTAACTCGCAAATATAAATGTCAACAAACATCTCACTGTTCTACATATTTTAGTCGGTCTGATAACGAATTTATTGTATTTGTGTTTTTTACATAGTATAATAATGTTATATAACATCTAATAACAGCATAAAATTGCCATAAAAATCAGTAAGCATCCGTGTCAAATTCTTATTCTGTCGTTGGCGAGTTCAAAGAGATTTGCGATCTTTGGAATTCTTATTGGCGTGTAATCTAACTCTATGAATCATCTGCATGCAAACAAAATATTCAGTGGCCATAATAAATATTCCGCATTTAGGTACGAGAGATATAATAAATACGTGACTTCGCAGGTTCGCAACTTTTTTATCTACATTTGATTACTCAGCTATGATGTCAGTGACTAGTGCAACTTTTTAATGTCTTATCAGGGTGCTTTAAACGAAATTAAGATGAATCAGTGATTTAAATATAATGCTAACGTGATGTAATATAAATTCGTACGATTTTATAACAATTAATATACATAATTGACTATGCTCGAAAATTGGAAAACCTGTTTGCGGCTCCTATGTTAAGAGAGAATCGTATATTTTTGCGCGTAAAATAAGATTAATGTTTTTATTACAAATTTATATTTTCGTAAACGTGTTCTATTTCAAACTACTCCCGTCATGTCGACAAGTTTATCGAACGTATCGAGAAAAAGTAATACAGTAGTAAAAAATGCGAGATATAATAGGGAACAATTACGCGCATTCCTCGTGACAAGCGCGGTTCGATAATTGTTTATGTTTGTATTCTTCTAAAGTTTCCACACTTGTGCAGGAATG